TCCCCGTGCTCTCCCCACGCCAGGTCCCTGCAAACTCAGTCAGGTCCTATTCCTACCCTTTAAAAACTTTTTTAATTGTGGTGAAATAAGCATAACATAAAATTTACCATCTCAGCTGCTAACGGGGTGCAGTTCAGTGGGAGCATCTTCACGTGCCAGGCGGCACCCCTCCAGCGCTTCCATCCTCCCAAACGTAAAACTGTGGCCCAGGCTCCCGTCCCTCGGCCCCGGCAGCCACCATCTGACTGCCCGTCTCAGAGGTGACTGACCCCTCCGGCATCTCCTGGAAGTGGAACCACTCAGTATTTGTCTTTTGTGACATCGTTCAGCACAATGTCCCCAGGTTCGTCCGCCACAGCCCGGGCCAGTCTCCCTGTGGAGGCTGAATGACAGTGTCACATGTTCACACCCTTCCCCTTCATCTGTGGTGACACTTGGGCTGCCCTGAGCAGCATCTTTATGAACACGGTCTGTGAATTCCTCTCGGAGATCTCTGGGGCACAGCCCCTGACGTGGACTTGCTGGGTCACAGGTCTAGGTCTAGGTTCAAGGCCTGCGGCGTCGCTGTGCTGTTGCCCACAGTGGCTACACCATCCTGCAGTCCCACCGGTGCCAGAGGCTCCCGCTCCGTACCCTTGCCAACACCCCTCCCACCGCATCCAGTCCACGCACGATGCCATTCACCACAAGCCGTGAGGCCGGAGGGAGCGGAGCTCTCCAGACGGGGCCTCAGAGAACACAGGCTACGGGTTCTGGGAGAACCACGCCGTGCCAGCAGGGTGGGTGAGTCAAAGCCCCAGCCACACTGGAAGGGGTCGTCTAGACTGGTGAGCACGTTGGTAGGTGTGTGTCTCTAGCACACGAGCCTGACGCTCACGCCGTCCGTGACGCATGCACGTGAGAGCCGACGTACCCGCTGGAACTGGTCCTCGGGACAAGGGGAGGTGGGCTCCTAAGGCTCCCTCCTCACACGGCTGCATGGTCAGCACGGAAACGAGCCGCCGTGGAGCTGGGAGCCAACCTCACTGACGGGAAGAAGCTGCAACGACACCGTAAGCAACTGGGGCCCCAAGTCTAGTTTGATTTTGCATTTCAGGACACATCACTCCAGAAGCCTCGCTTTGAAAGACCAGAGCCAGACCCTGCTAGATCGGGGAGGAAGCCTGTTTCAGAGCTCGGTTCCACAGGGAGTGGGCAGAGCCAGCGCGAGCAGCGTCTGCCTCTTGCTCCGTCACTGCCAGGCCTCCCTCCAACCACTGCCTCCTTGCAATTCATCAGAGATGTTGTGGTTTTGGATGAAGTCGCCCCCAACAGCAGCCTTCAGATTTTTAAGAGTCACCAAAACCTTCCCTAGGTGAGGTAAACCAGCAGACTTCCCTGCCTGTCAGAGGAAAGCACTTCCTCTCCTGAGCACCTACCTGGCTTCTTAAGTCCCTGGTGTGACAGGAACAGAACGCGCATCCTTGCAGTACTAAACTCACGGGAGGGGACCAGCAGATGGCGCAGTGTCACCTCACTGGACTCACGTAGTTGACCGTGGTTTGAGTCTCGGACTGGATCACACCGGGTGTGTGCGCAGCGTGGGGCCGTCCCCCTGGGGGTGATTTCTTGCTTTCTGTTTCTCTGTGTCTTCCCATGAATGTACACGCCCTAGAGCAAAAATCTCCCTTAAAAACAAACAAAACACTGAAGGGAGTGAGGGCCGTGGGCTGCAGCTGCTCTGACAAGCCCTCGGCCCCTACGGGTTTCTCAAGATGCTCCTCGGATCTCAGAGAGCTCAAGACCATGTTTGACTCCCCGATGTGACGGAGCCTTTGGCTGGATCTGATGGCTTGCGGTAGATGGCTACGGCCTTGGGGAAGAGGGCAAGGCTCCAGCCGCCCGGGCCTGGAGGGGTGGGGAGGACAGCTGGGGACTGAAATCGCCATGTGCAGGTGGGTGATCACAGCCCCGACTTGGTGGAGGCAGCTAACCGAGGCTCCCAACCCCTCCATGCACAGAACCTTCCTGCTTGGGTCCCACTGGATCTCGGGAAGGCTGGAAGTGATGTTCAAACAACAGAACGCACAGAACCAACCCCTCACAGCTGGAGGAAGGTACCGGGCCGGCATGCTGCGGTCTTACTCTCGATTCTGGCTTTTAATAACTCAGTGGCTCTCTTGCAGTCAAAAGGTATTTGCATGTCAAGAACGTCCATTATTTTTCGTTTGCTTTTCTAAAATAAAACTAGGCTGCTCTGCAAATTTTAGATGTTTTCTTGATATTAAGGATGAAAGAGATTGGTATGGCTTCAGGGTCTGCAGACACTAACAAAAGACTTCGACTGCAAGGACTTGGGAGGGACGTTCCAGCATAAGCTGCCCTGGAGGGAGCTGGCAGGTTCCGAAGTTTTCCGGATTTCAAAAACAACTTGAAGGTCCTTAAATCTTATGTGTCAAAATGTATCAGTGTGACCTTTGGGGATGAGGCCTATTTAAATCTTTTAAAAATATAGAGAGATAACTTTCTCTGTGCTTCAGTGTCTGCCTATTATCAAGTCAGGAAGTTTGGTCTTTGGGTTAATTTGGGAGTCACAGGTCAAAACCTAATGCAGCCCTTGGGTTTGGCAGGTCTCTTTCCACTTTCCCGTGTGTCATAAACAGACACCATTACCTCCTCCCTGCTTCTGGCCAGGGGTGAATCTAACCCGTGCAACTCCATCTACTGATTCTTTCCTGGGGTGAGCTGTGGCCCTGGACTGCGTAGACCTCAGCTAGGAAGTGGGTTTCACGTAAGCACGGAGTCCTCAGGTAGTCAGGCACTTCTTCTTTGACCCGTCAGAAAATCAAGGGAGCATCTGCGAGCTCTCCACCCCCTGCCCTGCTCCCACCTGGAAGTGGTGAAGAACGAACTCGCCTGGGTTTCAGGTCTGCTCGATGCTCCCAGAACTTGGGGTAAACAGCGGGGCCTCCACTCCTGGAAAACTCACACTGGCACGTCCTGCGGCAAGGTGGCCCGATGACTGCTCTGGCCGTGCGTGGCCCTGCCACAGATGGTGGCTTGCTTCCAGTGACACTTGCCTTCCTTCAGGTTGGAAACAGGAGTCGACCCAAGTGGTCACGTTTAGTCCCTCCTAAAGCAGGAACTCACTCACTGGTCGCTGTGCACTTACGTCGGCCTTCTCCTTGCGGGGCCACGTGGCCGCAACACAAACGGGACGACTTCACGTTCAGAAACCTGTCATTTCTGGTGCCTGGTTGGTCACCATGTGATGTGAGCAATGGAACATGCTCACTGCTCTTGCGGAAAACCCCAGCTCCAGGTTTCTTGGGCAGACATTTTCCAAGGAGCAGGGCCCCCCCAGGAAAGTGCTGACTGCAGACCACAGGGCAGGTCTCGACCCCTGCTGCTCTTGGGCTCGCTCTGTCTCCAGCTCCGCAGACACGGGCCAGATGGCTTCGTGAGCTTGAAGACGCTTGGATGGCGGTGTGTGTTCATATTCTGAGTGACTAGCGGGGTGGGGTGGGACAGAACTCCTGCATCTCAGAGCTATGAGCCGCGGAGGGGCACTTCTGTTACCACCCAACTCTAATGAACCTTTTGGTAAGCATCTTCATTGCTTCCATGTGTGAAACACACATGCACACACGCGTGTGCACATGCACTCCACAGAATCCCCATGCAGCAATCCCCCCCCCCAGCCTCAGCCAGCCCGGACTGCAGGCATGCATGTGTGTGCCAGGCTACACAGGAGGTCCCAGGACGCCAGCCTGGAGCTTGCCCTGCGGGCCCAGTGTGCCCCCACAACACCACCGTCTGTGCCCAGCCCTTGGCAGAAAGCCACCTGGGGGGTGGGGGTGCTCATGCCACATCCCTTCTCCCTCCCGTCAGAGTTCTGGACACACACACATGCACTTGGCACATTTCTCAAGGTGCTGTGGTCAGAATTTAAACTGTGGCCACCAAGTGGGATCCCACCTCCTAAGCGTGGGGATTAACATCTGTGCTACAGGCCGGCCCGTGACTTCCATTTTTAATAAGCCTTTTCCCTGCTACCACAAAGAGCAGGATAAGGCCTCTGATATAAATTAGCTTTGTCACTACTTACAGGGGTTTTCATACAGAAGAGTGTACTTGTTATGGTAAAAATTATAATTATTCTAAAATATAAACAATTATTTTTAGTGGCTGTAGTCCGATATTTAGCTCGTACCCAATCCTTACAGCAAGTTGGTGCGTTCAGTCATTAATGGGCCCCGTGCTAACAGTTCCCAGGACACCAAGCTGCTCCAGACACACAGGACACGCGGGAAGGGGAGCTTTTGAAATTGGTGGGGAACATCCGTTTGAACAACATCCCGACCAAAATCATTTTGACATGGCTCTTTGGAGACTGGTCATCCTCTTGCTAGTGCAGACTGAGAACTGCTTCTCAGAAAGTATCGCCTGGTGGGGCCAGCAGTTAGCGTAATGGCTATGTTGCTGGACTCCCATGTAGTCGACCGCGGTTCGAGTCCCGGACCTGGTGGCTTAAACTCACGCTGGGCGCGTGTGTGTGCGTGCCCAAGATCCCGAGAGGAGAATGGAGGAGAAGGGATTGCCGCGTGGCCATTCCCCCAGGGGGTGATTTCTCGCTTTCTGTCTTTCTGTCCCTGTCTTTCTGGCATCTGCCAAACGCACGCCCCCTATAGCAAAAACCTCTCAAAAAAAAAAAAAAAAAAAAAGGCAAACTACTTAGGTTGAACTGCAGCTCGGCTGGTTGTAAATGAAGACCCCAATGCTACCTACTGAAGGCACAGGCAGGGCTGAGTGAGGCGAGATGGAGAAAGAAGCTGAGAGGAACATCTGACGCCCCGCAGCTACGGAGGCAAGTTACTCTTTACTGTAAACCCATTTTGGACTGTGAAATGAGGCAGTTAAACAGGGTCAATACTGAGCAATCCTAAATGACCTGAAAGAAATTTACAGTCAGACAGCTGCCGTACGATTAAAAAACAAACAAACAAAAAAACGTGCATCTCCCAACCACACCATTACTTATGTGGACTTCTTTTAAACATTTATTAAAAAAGCAAAATGTATGTTCATCTCAAATATAACAGTTAAAAATGGTAAAGCAGTCCAAACTCGCTCCTCGCAGCGTCCAGTCCCTGGGACTCTCAGCTTGTTCCAGGCAAGCTCCGACTCTCCCGCGTCGCTGCTCCCTCCCTCCCGCGTCGTAGTGCAGCTACAACCAAACTTTATAAAATTAACGATTTAAGGTTAAATAAGCTTAAATAAGGGTGTTAAATACAAGACACTTGGTCGGAGCTTCTGTACAGATAACAAATCTGGCATTGTACAAGTGACTGCGGGCTCTCGGTACACGGAGCCGGCAGGAAGCGGGTCTGCTTTCTCCAGCAGAGCAGCTACACAAAAGTGAAGGGAGAGTTGAAGTGACCACCGACAAGTCGGTGAGCCATTTACAAGGCGTGCGTATCCTTGGTTGCTGTTTTTAATCAGAACGCTGTTCATATTCAGGCACCATTTATTCCTGCAAATAAATAAGTCTCTAAGGTAAATGCATTCGAACGAGTGGTAAACACTTGAGTGCTTTTTTCCCCCTCACCCGACAAAGCTTTGCCAACTATCTCCTACGCCTCTTTTCTTATTGCTATGATAACGTGGCTGTGGAATAAAACTACTGTACATCCAAAAAAATAGAGCACCTTTAACATTAAAGTCTATGTCCGATTATTCGCTTCTGCGTTTATTTTACAATACTAAAGCCCGACTACGGTAAATTCTTTAACATCTCTACCAGGTCACCTGATACACAGGAAGTTACACTCGACTCCCTTCCTTCTGGAGGTTAGCCCAAGCCAGAGCCCCGTGTTAGAGTCTAAGACAACAAGGTCTACACTGACACCGGCATTTCCATTCGTCTTCACCCTGGGAGTCCATGCGTTCACACCCATCGCACTGTTCTCTGCGTGGCTACCGGGAAGATCGAGGCCCCCTCCCTGCTGGGGCGAGTGGTGCTACACGAATGGGACGGTGAAAACATCTATGGCTGGTTGAGAGCACACAGAAAACCAGGTGTCTGCAACTTCGGAGGGACAGCAGCACCTCCAGGGACCCCCGACCAGGCACCAACAGGTTAGGACTTCTTGTCGATGGTGTTGAAAAACCACTCGGTGAACTTGCGCAGCTGGGCCGCGGCGGTCTGCGACTCCTCCTGCAGCCGCATGTTGTCCCGCCGCAGGTGCTGCACCTCTGCCTGGAGCACTGCCTTGTCCTGCTTCTCCTGGGACGGGCGGAAACACACAGGTCAGAGACAGTGGACGTGCTCGCTCTGCGACGCCGGGGTATGGGGACCCTTACTTTGATTTTCGCTTACTGAATTTTGGCAGGGAAGGGCTTTCGGGAGCCTGCCTGGTCCTATTTCTGCCAAAGACACCGGGAGGGGTGGACGACCCCCCGGCCTCTCGTTTCACTCCACTCTGCTGCCATGGGTGTCGAGACGGCTGACATACAGAAGGGTTACCAGTCACCACGCACGCGACCCTCTATCCAAGAAGGGAGGTAACAGTGAGATTAAAAATAAAGATCTCTGGGGCCCAGCTGTGGTGGCATGGGCGACAAGGAGACCTCTGTGGGACGCTGGAGGCCGCGTAGGAAAGCGTGTCCAGTCTGCCCGAGCATGCCCTGGGCACGCTACCACCCTGGAGGCAGGGCAGGGGGACAGCTGCATGAAGGCCTGGTCAGGTTTCTCATGAAGGAAACAGATAAATGAACTGGAAAAAAGAAAAAGCCTAATACCCTTTGAGGATGTGCAGAGCCTTCCCAGTGGACGTCCTATAAAACTGGTGTAGCATGTCAGGCAGGTCCTATAAGGTGAGTCCTCAGGCCTCCCATCCCACCCTTGGCCTTCCCACGCACTGTTAGTATAATGACCGTCCAAGGTGGCCATTAAAAGCAAACATGGTTTGGGACCAGCAGATGGCATCATGGCTACATTGCTGGTCTCCCAGGTAGTCAACCGCAGTTCGAGTCCCGGACCTGTCAACTTAAAATCCTCGCCAGGCACGTGTGCATGCATGCCCAAGATCCTGAGAGGAGCATGGAGGAAAAGGGACTGCAGCATAGCCATTCCCCTTGGGGGGTCATTTCTCACTTTCTGTCTCTGTCTCTCTGGTGAGCACATAGTTCTTAAAGCAAAAATCTGTCTTAAAAAACAAACAAACAAACAAACAAACAAAAAAGCATGGTGCTCAGAAACACCCCGTGTGGTTTCCAGCAGACAGTAACGGAGCCATGCAACACTCGTCTCAGTCCCACGGTGCTGGCTTGCCCAATGGACTGTCTCATTACAAAGTGACGGCTGACCCCACTAGCCACCTTCTGCAGCACTGGGAGGACCGCTGTGTGGCTGGTGACTGCAACCTTTCCAGGAGCAATGCAGCTCACCTGCCATGACAAGCAGCCCACCCTGAGGCTTCCTCCTACCCCTAGTCCCTTCCCAGGCCCTCCCAACACCACCCGCCTGAGACCCGGGCCTCGAGAAGTGGCCCACAGGAGAGCTGGTCACCAGCTGCCCCCTGGGTCCCAGCTCAGGCCACTGAGGAGTGACCATCCTTGCAGCTCCTCAGCACAGCCAAACCTCCCGTGTGACTCAGCCCGCAGCCCTGATACTGTGACCCACACACCTGCAGCCAGCAGGAGGCCCTCTGCACTCTCGGCCTCTTGTCTGAAATTCTGTCTTTATGCCTTGACAAATCGTGGCTCCCCAAGGACGCTGTCCCCATCAGCTCGCCATGGCAGTCAGCCGGAACCCCTGGCTCAGTCTAGCTTGCTGCTCCTACCTGTAGTTCTAGGTCCTCTGAAAGCAGGCCATTAGGCTGCAAGACCTGCCATTCTCCTTAGGCAATGATTCACGGTGTCCCAGCCCTGGCCATCAGTAATGGAAGATTCTAGAACCTGGTTCAACCCCACTCTCTGTGCTGATGATTTCAAACCCATGTTGACGTTCTATTCTATACTCTGAAATCAAGGACTCAGAGCTTCTGAGAACTGGCCCACATAGGTGGCTCTGTGGGTCACAAGGCTGGGGCCAGGACAGGGCTCTGGCAGCTGGGGCAGCTCCTGCATACCAGACCTGGCAGCGGTGAGCTCCTGGTCGGCTGTGGACAGCAGGTGCAGCCGAGAGCCCTGAGCCGAAAATGCTGGCCTGTGTGCTTCTGCCTCCGAGGAAGCCTGGCCACTCGGGCGCATCCTTAAACAGTCAGAGCCACCCAGCAGCCCGAGTCCCTGCTGTGATGTGTAAGAGCAGCGGGTGGGAACGCGGAATTGGACCTTGGGAGGCTCCGCTTCCATTTACTGCTGAGTTTTATTTAGGCACTAATCTTCCCTGAGTCTATTCGATCTACTTGTGATGGTTGGAAAGAACCGGCTGTGTCGGAGAACACGCTCTGATTACACTTCTGACAGATGGCGTTACCTTGCGGAGGTCGGTCTGGAGCTGTCGGAGGATCAGCTCCAGCTGGTTGACCTTCCCGGTCAGCGTGGACGCAGAGCGCTCCCTAGAAGGCAAGGAAGGTGGGCAACGAGTCAAGAGAAGTCACGACATCGCATTATTTCGCTGGTCAAGTTGTATCTCAAAGCATCATCTCATGTGCTTAGAGCCCAGCAAAGAGATACACGAGACCACGTGGGACGGGAGTGTGCAGTCCATTGCTTGGGTGGGAAACTCTCCGGGGACACCCTATTGACTTGAAAAGGGCTCAGAATATTTATACAGACTATTTACCCGAGTTCAGCCACCCGGGATGAAGCGGTCGGGAGTGAGGTCCTGGTGAGCTCACGTAAGCTCAGTCCCCCTCGGGGTCTTTCACTGCAAGGAGGCGCCAGGACGCTGGTCACCCAGGTGATCCTGGAGCCAGTGGCACCAGCTCACACCAACGCTGGGACCCAGAAAGGACCACATGTAAGTCCGCCCTTCCATAGGGGACTAACGCATCATAGGGGAATAATGCTTCATTCCAGTCCTGGGTGAAGAGCGTGAGCCTGGGTCAAAGACCAGGTTCTGGGAGGAGCCATGCCCACAGGGCTCAGCATGAGTGGCCCGTCAGAGGAAGGATGATGGGCAAGGCAACCTGATGCAGTGACTGGCAGCAGACGCTGACTCCCAGGCCCACCAGCCCTCTCTCCCAGTAAAGCCTGCTCCCATGGGCATGAGGTTGCCATCCTGGCAGGCAGGACCTGCCCACAGTGAGGGGCAGTCATGCAGCCAGTGCCACCCCTCCCCCTGCTGCAGGACAGAAAGCCAATGTGGATCGTGGCCTCCGCAGGAAGCAGGGTCCACAGAGGTGCACGTACCCAGCTGCGTCCAGGAACTCTTTGCCGCTGGCTGCGTCCACACACAAGGGCAGCTCTGGGGCCCCTTCCAAGTCCTGGCCATGCTGCATGTCTGCCAGGGTGCAAAAGGATGCCACTCTCTGGTCTGCGGAGGGAGACACACACGGAGGGTTAATCACAGCTGCGAGGCAATTTCTCCTCGTGGAAATATATTTTGGCAGCTAAAACAAATAAAATAAAATCCCCCAATGAGTTCTTGCCCCAGCTTGAAACAAAACAAAGGGAAACACACTCAGGCAAGCTGCTGACAACGAGAAAGCATGAAGCTCGGCCTCTCCTCCAGGCTTATGGCAGCCACACATGCCGGCCCCGGGGACGACCAGCAGATCCTGGATTTGCTGGAGCCACTTTGCTTTCTGCTTTCCACCTCCCAAGAGATGCCAAAGCCGCCGGCCGTGCAGAGCGAGCAGTCGGAGGATGACTCAGCGCTGGACAGGTCCTCTCCTCCAGCTCGCTCTGCACCCAGACATTCTGGAGGCACAGTGGCCAGAGC